CCTGGCCACAAACACTTCCAGGGAGGAGCAGCCACAGCTTCTCTGCCCAACCTGGGACACTGGCTCACCCCCCTCACACCAAACAATTTCTTCCTCACATCTCAGCTCCATCTCCCCACTGACACTTTCAAGCCATCACCCCTTGACTGTTGGTCTGTCCAACCAAGGCCCAAGGGACAGGCCAAGAGGAAATGGGCTCCAGTTGTGACCAGGGCAGTTGAGATGGGATGTGAGGAAGAATTTCTTTGCTGCAAGGGTTCTGAGGCATTGGAAGGGGTTGCCCAGGGCAGTGGTGGAGTCCCCATCCCTGGAGGGATTGAAGAGTCGTGTAGACACAGTGCTGAGGGACATGGGTTAGTCACAGGGGACTGGTCAGTGTTGGACTCGATGATCTCAAAGGGCTTCTCTAATCCAGATGATTCTGGGACTCTGTGCTCCCTGCTTTTCTGGGTGTCTGCTGAGGTGAGAGGGGAGGTTGAGGACAGCGAGATGGGTGCTGTGCTGGGTGAGCTGGGGTGAGGGTTTGAAGCAGCTGGGTGCTGGGAATGCTCTGTACTGAGCTGTGCTGTGTCATGGCAACAGCTGTGTCCCTGCGGCTGCCGAGACTGAAACCTGCTCCCATCTACACCATAACACCACGGGGAAGCTCCACACACAGGTCTCCTCCCAACCACCAGCCGTGTGTGGCTTCTTCCACTCCACACCCAAGACTGTCCCTGCCTACGTGGCAGCGTGTGAAATGTGGGGACCATGTTGTGCCTCAAGCTTGGGGAGGTTTGACGCTGTCACCTCCATCTGTGTCACCACCAACAGTGACAGTTGCTGCACCAGTGAAGAAAAAAACCTGGAGGAGCTGAGCACTCGTGTGGGAATTCCACATCCTTCTTACCCCACCCCTGTAGATTCCCCAGTAAAACCAGTCCAGCTGCCAAACTGGTGTGAATGGGTCCTGGCCAAGGACCTGGGAGGATTTTTGCCCCAGTGAGGGGACAATTAGGAAGGATTTTTTTGCTTTCCAGTCTCTACATCTGCTGTTGAGTGTGGGGGGAAGCACAACCTGCCCTTCCCCTGCACCAACACCTCCAGCTTCAGGAGCTTTGGAGTTGACTTTTCTGACCCAAAGCTGGACCCAGGTGCAGTCCTAGGAAGGGCAGCATGTGAATGATGGGTACACAGGCATGGAGGGTTCCTCAGGTGGGATCCTGGAGCTCAAGGGATCTTTTTATCAGCACCTCTGGGAGTGGGAGACTTGGCAAACTGAGGTGCAGAGCTCATCTGCTGCAGCTCCTCTTTGCTCCTCCACAACACTGGAGGCTTTGAGCAACCTGGTCTAGTGGAAGGTGTCCCTGCTGCTGGCAGGGGGGTTGGAACTGGATGAGCTTTAAGGTCCCTTCCAATCCAAACCATTCTATGATTCTATGAAATACCCACCAGGATAAGGGTCTGGCCATGGAGAAGGTGGGTTCTGAGGTGGAGAGAAGATCACTGCAGCCTTCTCAGCAACCAGCCTTCATCTTCCTCACTTTCCTTTGTAGGAACACGCTGGAGGAAGTGACAAGCAGAAACAGCAGAGCCAAGCTGGACCCTGTCTACACGACTCTTCAATCCCTCCAGGGATGGGGACTCCACCACTGCCCTGGGCAACCCCTTCCAATGCCTCAGAACCCTTGCAGCAAAGAAATTCTTCCTCACATCCCATCTCAACTGCCCTGATGTGGGCCTGATCCCATCCCACGTCACGGTGACGCCGGTAGCACAGAGAGGACAGGGAACCAACCTGACTTGGCTTTTTAGAGAACTGGAGCTTGAGCAACAGCACGGTTTGTTCTCAGCTCAACTTCCCGGGTTTTGTTTGTTTTTTCCCCAAAATAACTTCAGCTTTTGTGTCCAGCTCTGACAGGGGACTGGAGTTATCCAAAATATCAAGTACTTGCAGCTGCTGTGGAAAGGGATGAAGCACAGAGGAGGGATCTTCTTCACTGTGAGGGGGGTCAGACACTGGAACAGGTTGCCCAAGGAAGTTGTGGATGCTCCTCCCTGGAAGTGTTTGTGGCCAGGTTGGATGAGGCTTTGAGCAACCTGGTCTAGTGGAAGGTGTCCCTGCTGCTGGCAGGGGGGTTGGGACTGGATGAGCTTTAAGGTCCCTTCCAACCCAAACCATTCTATGATTCTATGATCTTCCTTTAAATGTGATGCTGGAGAACTTGCCCTGAGTGGTGAGGGAACTTCTCCCAGAAATGTACACGTGGACCTTCAGGCAAGATTGGATGTGAGGAAGAATTTCTTTGCTGAAAGGGTTCTGAGGCATTGGAAGGGGTTGCCCAGGGCAGTGGTGGAGTCCCCATCCCTGGAGGGATTGAAGAGTCACAGACACAGTGCTGAGGGACATGGGTTAGTCATAGGGGACTGGTCAGTGTTGGGTTCATGGTTGGACTCGATGATCTTGAAGGGCTTTTCCCATCCAGGTAATTCTGGGACTCTGAGTGTTTGATCAGGTGTGACTGTGGGGATCTTGGCTTTGCTGGAACCAGATTTGCCTTTGGTGGGGAAGGTTGGGATGACTCCTGCCCCCAGGACAAATGCTGAGCTCCTCCAGATGGTCTCTCCTTCCCCACAGCATCACTGAGGCAACAGGCAGCTCACAGCTACACTGGACATGGATGTGTCCAACCTCTACTCTCCTGAGACCACAGAAAGGTCCTTCAAGACCCTTGTCTTCACTGAGGCAAGCTGTCCACAGAGCTTTCCTCTCTGGTTTAACCCCAGCGTGAGGTATCACAGCTGGGGACAGCGAGCAGGATGGAGACACAGGGCTGGGGAGATGTTTCTTGGCAGGGAGCAGATCCAGAGTGGTGCTTTGGATGTTGGCCAGGACAAGCTGTGCTCTGAGTTTCTCCTCCCTTGGCTGGGAGGGGACAAACCACAGCCCTTCCCTGAAGGTCCATCCCCCTAGTTCAAGCCCAGAAATGGGGAGTTACTTGGCTCATGTCCCATTCCTGGCTCCTCCTGCTCCCAGGAGGGATGAGACACTCACTGCAGCACCAGCTCCCCACTGCCTGCGTGCCAAGGCTGAGTGATCCAACCCTGGAACTGCTCTGATGCTGCTCCATGGACATCTCCACCCTTCTGGGACACCCACCAGTTGCAGTGCTGGGCTTGGCCATGGACTTGAATCACTTGCTGAGATGTGCAAGCATTGCTGTGTCCTTCTGAGGATAAATGGGGTGGATTTCGGGGTCTCCATCCTCACTGATCTCCATGGTTCCTTCTCAGCCCCTTGCTGGATGAGGCTTTGAGCAACCTGGTCTAGTGGAAGGTGTCCCTGCTGCTGGCAGGGGGGTTGGGACTGGAGGAGCTTTAAGGTCCCTTCCAACCCAAACCAGTCTGGGATTCTATAAAAACTCTCTAGAGACTTT